AGGGTTAGGCGACAAGGAGAGGGGGTGGGGGGGGAGAGAGGAAGAGAGCGAGACACACAGCACTCTGCATCCATTTCTTCACAGAGCTATGTGAAGAGATGCTAGTTAAGGACATATACATTAATATGATTGGTAACTTTAATCACATTCTGCAAAATGTTAAATTCGGGAGACATTTTTGGCTAGCCAGCATTTCTCTGTTTGGCACAGTGGGTAGACTGATATTCAAAAGCAATCTCTTTGACCCAAGTAGTGAAACCAGAAAGCTGTCCAGTCACAGAAGCAGTTCTGTCCATGCATAATTATTGACACAAAATGACCAACTCAAGTTTTTCTAATATGTAATCATTTAAAAACTGGAATAATTCTGCAGCTGTGATACTGGTTGGCAACAAAAGTGCCAATAACATAGTCTCATGCAAATCCTCCTGGAAAATATATTGCACAAAAACAAGCATTACTGCTTTGTCAACACCAGTAGATTTATACCACATGTTAACCAACTGCACCACTGGAGCTTCAACGTCAGATTTATTAACCTGGATTGTGTACCTCAATGACTAATCCTAACAATCATGCCTCAACATCCTGGGCCTAATTGTGACACTAGCTGAGAAAAGAATACATGCCACTTTTTGTGCTAGTCTTTCCTAAAAGCTCACTACCAAATGTTCTCAGCAGCAAGCAGGATCATTTCTTCACCAACAGTGAGGGGCTTCTCAGCTTCAGGGATGCAGTTAGCCACTAAGAATGTTGCTCTCAGCCTAGACACATTCCATGAAATGGTGGCCTTTTTTGTTGTTTTCACATGCTTTTTCTTTGCAAAAATTCCAAAGCCTTGTCTTTAACTCAAGGTGGTTGGTCTCCATGTAGTGAAGTAGTTTTGAAGGTTTCATAGCTTTGTTGGAAGCGAGTCACCAAACATTACACAAAGTAGGCTTGAAGAACGTGAATCGCCTGTTACAATTATAACCTGTTATTTAAGTAGGACTCTTGGTATTTTCTTTTAAATTCAGCTTTCTTTTTGTTGGCATTCTTGGTGTCTTCTGCTTTCTTATCATTGGGTCTTTCTCTCCTTTCAAAGAAGCTCTCCAGTGATGTTTATTTTTCACCCATTTTGGCCAGGGTTGGTTTGTGAGCTTAACAAAACTGACTGAGACAAGTATGCAGGGTGGGAAAGAGGCACAGATGGGAATGGTAAATAATGGGAGGACCATGTACAGACTAAAGTTGGATTCTGACTTAAAACCTGCCACCAGATAGTTTGTCACTTGCCTCTCACTGATAGTGTTTTGGCAAGAACCTGCAAGCAACTGATTACGGTCTTTATACCCCTCTGCTAATGCTAATCTGCATTTGCCATCAATCCTCAGCTCCATTGCAGAACACTAACATATTCTCATAGGGAGCAAGTAATCCCTTGTATGAGCAGTTCACAGTTGGATTCACTCACCTATGAGAATCTAATGCTAATGATCTGAAAGGAGGTGGAGTTCAGGCAGCAGAAGTGGCTATAAATACAAATGAATCTTTTCCTTCAATTTAATTTACCTCCTGCTATGTGGCCTTGTTCCTAACAGCTAGGGAATGTTACCTTTAAGTAGGGACTACTGTTCTAACCATTTGAAGGTTTTATTTCTAACAGTGCCCCAGAGTAAATAAGTTGGTATGCAAGGAACAGAAGCTAATTAGGAGGAGTATTTTAGGTAGAAAATACTTCATCTATAAAAAACTTTGTTCACTGCTAAATTATTGAAAAGTATGTTTGAATTTCACTTTATAACCAAATCTTACTTTTCTTATTAATGAAAATGGAATTTTACAAGGAGTACTTTAAATCATTACCTTCTTAAACTCTACTCATGCACCAAAAGGAGGAGTTATTTTAGTTCTATTTGGTTATAACAAGTATGTACCAAGTACTACACCTACAAGTGGCCCTGTGGGTCAGGGGAAAAGAGTCTGTCTGGAAAAAATAGTCATATAGTAGGGAAAGGATAAGAATACTTCCAGGCAGGCCTATGAGTATGAATGGGGTAGCCTAGCGCACACAGGAACTTCAGCAGTCTGGAGGTGTGGGAATACTTCCAACATGTGCTGACACAGTTGAGCTTGGAAGGATGAACAGGCAGTAATAACAAGGGGCTAGCTGAAAGCAAGGCACAGAGACATGAGACACAAATACCTCAAGCACCTGGATAGGTGTGCGGAGCAGCCAATCACTAGGCTCCAAATTTAAAGGACTATTTGTTAACAAATCATTTTTATTTTAAATCATTTTGAAGGCTTCAATGTCACAAGAGCTTATTAGAATTCAGCAGAGGTCCAAATATCATAGAGTGCCTACATTCACAGATATGATTTTTTTTTTCCTCAACCACAAGAACATTCAGTAGCTTTTCTCAGGACCTTTGAAACATAGAAGTCTGATCACTAGGTCAAGTCCACTCACCTTCATCCTCCTCCTCTTCGTCTACACCATCCACCTCTGCATCTGAGTCTGGGGCTTCTCGGTCCTCTCTGTCATAGCCATCCAGGTAGCTTAGTTGGGGCAAGAGCTTGAAGACACTCTCTCGGTAGTCATTCAGGTTGGTGACCTCACAATTAAATAGATCCAGGCTTTTCAGGCAATCCAATTTTTTCTAAAGGAAAGAGTAAAAGAGACACAACTCCTAAACCAAAGAAGCACAAACCATCTGAAGAGGTTAAGTTCTAGGCTATGCATCTGGTTAGGTGCTGCCCACTTAAAACTCATACATAGGAAAACACTAGTCCTATACCATCTTTGATCTAGACCTTAGTTCCTCCCTTCCTACAGCTACTCTCCTAAGAACTATGTCTTTTTCTGGCAGTATTAGTAGTCCAAAGAAATGTAAATGTGAAATAATTATTACTAAAACTAGAGTTTTTCAAGCATAAGACACAGTTTAAAAATTTAGTTCAAACCTTAGTGAAACAGATTTATAACAGTCTTGAATCTCATGGCAATTACAATACTATTTGAAGACCCAGATATGAAGTACTATAGACGATGCACTATAACAGAACACCAGGGGTGTCAATGAAGATGTATTTTCAGGGAAGACAGGAGTCAATATGGGCAAGGGCAGGACATGACTCCAAGGTGAAATTTCAGAAATATAGAGAAAAATTACACTTCTTTTTTCTCTTTTATGTTCTGGGAAAGCCTGATACTATTACCAGATTTTTCAGATGTAAATTGCTTCTGATTCTGCCATAACTTGAAGTTCTGCTGTAATACCGTATTAGTTTGGAACTATCCATATCACCTAATGTAAAAACTTGGCCCAAGAAGTTTTTTGAGTGGCCAAAGAGGACAGGAAAAATGTCTATTTGTTTGTTTTTTTTTATAGTACTGAGTCTTGAACTAGGGCCTTTGCACTGAGTTATATCATCAGTCCTTTTTTTAAAAATTTAAGACTTAGCTACACTGCTAAGTTACCCAGATTTGGCTGTCACTTGTGATCCTCCTGCCTCAGTCTCCCAGAGTGTTGGGATTATAGCTGAGTGCCACACACCCAGCTTCATGTGTTATATTGTACCACTATGCAATTATTCCAATCTCAGGTACTTTAGTTTCAATCAGGGTACATTAAGAGACTAAGGGAGAAATATTATAGGCAAGTCAGAAGACAGTGACAGGAAATGGCAGCAGACCCTTGTATGCAGAAGAGGAAGCAGATGATAAAAAGCAAACACAAAATGTGCAGTATTGTACAGCCTGGTGCCTTCCAGAAAGGGAAAATACGCCTGGAGTGCATATGATTAAAAGTTTAATAAATCTAACTTTTAATAGTCCTGAATTAAGAGAAAAAGCTTGGTATTTTCTAAGAAAATCACACACACTCACACATACGCACCAAATGAAGATTAATTAGAGGAACTCTGTATGAAGTTAAGCTCTAAAAAAATATGCATAGAGATGCTTAAAGGACATTGATTCTTTATTTGGGAAGCTATTATAACATTCACAAGGACCTGGGAAGAAATCCAGACAAAACAAAACTTTGTTTTCAGAACTGGCAGCATGAGTGTAATTCTAGGGAGACAGAAAGTAACTTGAAAATCTTCAGAGTTCTAGGAGTTGGTAAACCACAGCCATGGGCCAATTCTAGCTTACCATCTGTTTTCATAAAATAAAATTTTACTGGAACACAGTCAAACACGTTTATTTATGTGCGGGGTCCTTTGGTGCTACAGTGGCAGAGCCTGTATGGCTAGTCAGTGCCTCCTGTACCTACTACCACCTGGCCCTTCAGAGAAAGGGCTGCTGACCCTGCCCTGAAAGGATCTTCATCTCCCTGGTTTATTGTCAAAGAAGCTTTTGAGAACTAAGAGTGAGGGAGGGACACTGAGCAGGATTATGACAAAAGCCAATGCTGTTCCCTTCAAACAGCAATATACAATGATTTCAGAGTTTGTTAGCCAATTAATGTGCTTACATAAGGCAGCTCCTGATGTCTTAAGAAAGCCCAGTCCTGCTAGTAGTAGGTAGAGCTGCTTTTGTATTAAGTAGCTTTCAGATCGGGTTTCCCAGTGGACAGGCCCTTACTTACAGAAGCCCAGGTATCACTTCCTGCTCAACAGGGAAATAATGCTGCAATACCACCCTAGGCAAAAAACCAGGACATTACGCTGCCTTTCTCTTCAACAAGGCTAATTTTATACCAGTTAAGACACAATCATAAATAAGTCTGCAGTGTTTTCACAGAGATTTAGACTTAAAAACTCTTTAAAAGAATGAGCCATTTACATCTCAAAACTATTTTCTAAGAAAGAATGCACAAAAATGCTTACATCTTCTGATATTTATCTAATGCTTTATAACACCTAAGACACTACTCTGGTTTATTCAGTATATGGGGCTGCCAAAGCTCTTATGTGAGATTTTTGGCTACTTTCTGACAAGGCACCTATGAAATAATTTGGATACGCCAAACAGTATGCTAGAAAATGAAATCAAAACAAGTAAATAGCAACAAATTCCAAATGACTAGAGCACTTTAGAACTGATTAAAGTAGTAAAGTTGTGCTTTAAGGCTTAACCGGCACAAAAGACACAAATTACTTAGGATTCCAATGTAATGTGTAAACACTGCTAAAAAAAATTACAACTCTACCTTACCAGAAATGTGACCTAAGCTCATAGGCTAGCCATAATAAACATTAAACATTTTATTAACAATAATTTTGCTTGCCTTCTTAGAATTTAGAAGGGCTTTGGGGGATGATTTGGATGGCTCAGGTCTCTTAAAAAAGGTGTCCAAGGAAGTTTGAATTGATGCCTTCTTTGTCTCTCGATTAATGTCCCTGTAGCAAGCAGAGGCATTCACAATCATTGCATTGACTGTAAGAACTGGGCTCAACGTAGTGTTTAAAATGTATGTGGTTAATGAGGATGAGGATGGTGTTTTTCCCCCACTGAAGAATACTTTCAGATGTCAAAATGGACCCAACATCTACCCTCCTTCACCTTTTCCTACAGATTTCCTTTAGTAATCCCAAGGAATTGGGACAACTATAATATAATGGTGGGAGCTCAGTTTTTTTCCAAATACACCTGGTATGCAGCACTTTGGCTCTGCAATAAAGTGTGTGACTCTGGACAAGGGATTCAACCTCATCCAAGCCTTAGGTTCCTCTGTGTAAAATAAGGGCCATGCTATTTCTATCTACTTTGTAGAAATGCCTTCTGGTTAAGTACAAATACAGTATAACATACAGTATAAAGCACCCCATATAGTGTATGATATGGGTACAGAGAAGCCTCTAAAAACAGTAAATAGAACAAACATGATTTCTCATCCTTCACTGGGTTTGGTGACTAAGACTTTCACAGCCACTTTCACTGGCCCTCATATACTACAGACCAAATCAGGAACCCTCAAGTAAACAACTCCCACATAGTATTTGTTTCTGCTCTGACTGTGTGGTACAACATGGATAAAGGCATCTATAGCAGAGGCCTCAGGCTGCTTTAAGAATTAAGAACAGCTAGCTGACAGCCTGGCAGACCCTCCCCATAATAAAGGCTTGTTATGCTTTAAAAAAAAAAAGAACACCTAGTTATCTTGCATTCCTCATGCACGGCAAAGTACTGTTTGGTACAACGTTTTAAAGGGGGAGATGGTAAAGGAAGTGGTTTCTATGCTCATAAGTGACCCAGAATAAAGAGGCCCATCATTAATCAATAGTCAAAAGCTTAGTGTAGGCCCACTATACTAGGAAGTACACTTAGGCATTAAGTATACTTAATTAACTGCTCATGTTGGAATTCCCAACTTACAGATGTGGGTACAGAATAAATTTATAGGAAGAAAGAATAGATCCTCAAAGGCAGTGGAACATACAGTGAGCCTGTATTTGAATGCTGACTGTTATTTATCCCAATTATTTAAGCTCTCTAAACTCCCTGGAAGTCTCTCTCTAAACTTAGTTTCCTGATCTCTAACAGAAAGTCATTCTCTCTTCCAGGGGTATTTGAGGACACAACAAATAAAATTTCATGTCCTTGGATACAGTAAAATTGAATAAATGTCTGATTTACCATAGGAATTGGGGATTGGTCTGGGATAACAAAACTACAGTATTAGAAATGAGGGGAAATGGGCCCAGGATGTAGCTCAGTGGCGCAGTGCCTGCCTGGCAAGTGCAAGGCCCAGAGTTTGATTCTTGGTACCAAAACCAAAACCAAAAGTAAAACCAACCAACCAACCAACCAACCAAATAAAAAAGAAAGAAGGAAGGAAGGAGAAAAATAGGGGTGGATAACAGTACCTGGGCATTATCTTTAAGAGCAAAACTTGTAGGACAAGTTGGGAAACAAGCTCCTCCCAACATTTATGAGAAATATGAGTTATTATTATTACAAAGGAAAAGAGCCTATATAATCGTGTCAGAAATTCCTCTTCATTAAAAGCCACAATTTTACTATTTTCCTCAGAAATATCAAAAGCATTCTTTACAAGTGGTGTGAAATTCACATATTTTAATATATTATGCTTTTAGAATAGGTAAGAGGCAACAGAGACCATGTCTTATTTTCCTGGTTCTGTTTGAGATTCTGAAAGATACTTCCTAATCCTGAATTTACCCCCACCCCTGCATCCTGCACAACCTTGGAGGCTGCCCACACCTGCATCACCCCCGCCTCCAGGCCTGCCTCTGGAAGCTGTTTTTCACTAGTACAACTTCATATAGACTGGATTCTCATTAGCAGAGCTTTCCAACCTAAAAACTGAAGGAAATTCATTACCAAAATTTATCCTCAGAGTCCCTAAATAAGGTAAACATTACTGTCTTCCCCACTTCATGAATGAGGAAACTGAGGCCCAGAGAGAAGAAGCAATTTGCCCAAGGTCACACAGCAAAGTCTATAACCCAGGTGGCAGTTAAACTTAGCTTTCCATGACTTATTCCAATCTGTTAGGCTGAGAAAGAGCTCAGGACTTCCACATAGAATGTTAAGTAACAGCGATCAGTACAGCAGTTCAGAAATTGAAGAGCTAAAATTTAGTGCAGATGTGCTTGATTGTTCTATCTACAATTCAGTCATGGCACCCAATTTATACAGCTTTAGTTAACAACAACTTGGCTGGCCTGGCAGGGGTGAGAGGATGGTGGGGACACAACGACTAATAGACGAGTTTAAGGCTGTTATAAATGTGAATTCTAACAAGGATACAAAACACCAAAGAGTTCTCCTTTGGAGGAAGCCACAGTATCAGGCAGGAGGAGCAAAGCCATAGGAATATATATATACTTAGGCTCTGATCTTTAAAACTGGGACTCCTATAAAAAGCTATCATTTCCTCAATCACTATTCCCAATCATTTCTCCCACTATAAATATGAAAATGAAAATGACCAATAACTCCCAGTTTCCAAATTCTCAGTCACTTACCAAAGGTTCCAAGGTGCTGATATCTTTCAGTTTATTTCCACTTAAGTTTAAATGTGTGAGATTTGGAAGTTTTTCTGCTAACATGTCCAGACCTCCAAAGATTCTATTGTCACTGAGCTCAAGCTGCGGATGAAAAGCACACACAGTACAGACACAAATACAGAAATACACATCACTAAGGTGTTATAAATAGTAAATATAGCTCTCAAATACTTATTAAGATTAAAAACCCATCTTCTATTAGGACATGTTATGTTATTGTGATTAAATGTGAAAATGTAGTTTATAGATCCAAGCAATATTTGAGGTGGGAATATGGGGACAGAACAAGATAAGTATTTTCTCAATCAGCTGCTAAAAACAGTTTGCTCCAGAACTGACCTCTAATATCAGTAAATATATTTTCTAACCTAAAAAGTAGGTCAAAACAAATTAAGAGCCACATGTGGTGGTGCATGCCTGTTCTAACACTGGAAGGCTGGGGCAGGAGGATCAAGCTCAAGGCCAGGCTGAACTGTATGATGAGACTCTGTCTCAAAAAACAAACAAACAAACAAACAAACTTCCAAGTAGTAGTACTCTATATACCTATGAGAAAGAGCAAATGGTCTGTGCATTCTGAGAAGCTTATTTTGTATGCCAAGCAAAGTTTGCAATGCACTTCAAACAAAATGTGGTTTCTGGGCAGTGCTAATACATTGTGGGAATCAACACCCAAAGACAATGCAGAATACTGCTCAGACGGCCACAGGAGTGGGACAAGCCTCAGAGACGAGCTCCTAAAAATCGTGCAAGACACTAGGAAAAAGGGGAGGGTCTAGAGTATATAGTTCAGTTGTACATCATGTGCTTAGCATTTGGGAGGCCATAGGTTTGATCACCAACACCAAAAATAAAAAGAAAGGCAGCAGGGAAATAGCCCTGGGTTTACGGAGCTCGTACCTTAGAGGTCACTTCTTTTAAGAACCTGGCACTGGCCTTTACAAAAAACCTACTCTAATTTCTTAGCTGTAAATCAAGTCACACAGACAAGAAGCATACCAAAAAAGGAAGAAGACTTCATCAAGGAGTACTAGAGTACCAGAATCTTAAAGCATAAGGAAGTGGAACCCAAAGAACAATGTAGAGAACACCTAATTCAAGCTGTTTTGCAGATGGAAAACTCAGGTCAACTTGTTCCAACTCCCTATTTAAAGTGTTAGCAATGGTTTATCTAACCCCTACACAGTACTTAACTGCTATGCAATGTTTGTGGTATTAAAAATATGTTAATTCACTTGATCTCACAATAACCGTAAGGAATAGGAAGAATTATCAACCCCATTTATCGATGGAGAAAGCTAACTACAAAGATGTAACTGGACTGAGATAACAAAGCTGCTAGAGAGTAGGCCCATGATTCAAAGTCAGGCAGAATAGATAGTGTCATTAAAACCCATGCCTTCCCCACGATGCTATGTACCTATGTATGTTATTTGTGCAAATAAAATGTACTGCATAATTCAGAATAATGAACCTGTTCACATCTTTCAACATGTGATCTTATGGAACGGAGTAACAAATCAATCCATCAAAGCATTTACAAGCATATTTATTTTGAGATAAAATGGATGTGTAAATTTTGGAAACCTATGACATTTATGAACCATTTTCTTGAAGTACTTGTTTCTTGTTAAAACAGTCTGTGCTCTGTAGTAAGAAGAAACTTAAAGAACATTCCATCTGGTGCCAGGGATTTAGCTCAGTGGTTCCAGTGCCTGCCTCGCAAATGCAAGGGCCTGAGTTTGATCTCTGGTACCGAAACAAACAAACAGAACATTCTACCCGTCTTTTAACTACAACCTCCCCCGCCGCATTGGCCTTATAGTGTTTAAAGCTCTCAAAAATATTTGATAAAGCCCTTAAATGATCACTGATAGGCTGACTTTCTGAATACATCTGACAGCATAGGAGACACATAAATTCAGGAAAACGTGTCAGAATGCTAGTAAAAAACACAATATACACACTAGGGATCTGCTAGCATAAAGTTTATGCTAAATCATTCTATTGCTGAGCTAATCAGCTGCCACTATCACTGATAACTCATGCAAAAAAAAAATCTGTAAAGTAGATACTTAGAAATGAGAAATATTGTCATTAGTGAGTGTACTGAAGACTCATGAGGACTACATATTAGCCATATAAGAGATTAAGACACAGGCACACTTAGTATTTCTAAATTCATGTACTAAACAAACCCCACATCACAAGAGAAAAGTTTCATCTCTTAGGACTTAAGCAAGCTCTGGAAATAGTCTACATGTCCTTTGCCTAAATTTGATTATAAATTTATTTTTATGTGGGTGTTTAAAAGCTCAACTGAGTTCTATAATAAAGAGAATACTGATACAATGGTGAATTCTGTAAAACCATACATCTACGTAATGAAAAAGGTACTGAGTTAGGAGATACGGTGCAGGTTTGGCTAACCTCTTCAGTGGATGGCTATAGACAAACTACTGTCCCTTTTTGGGATTGTTGCTGTAATAAAGCCCTGGAATACAGCACCAAAGTTTCTTCCAGTTTTGATATCTCTAGGGCTTGGGACAAAGGACAAGGCAAAATGTTTTTCTTGAGCATTTTATTCTTTTTTGAGACAGGGTCTTGCTATATAGTTCAGGCTGGCCTCAAACTTGCAGTGATCCTCTTGCCTCAGCTTCCCAAGTGCTGGGATTACAGGTGCACCACTATGCCCAGGTTATATTTTGACCTTTTCTTGGGAGTGGGAGAAATGCATCCTGCAGATAACTGGTTTTAATTAGACAAGTAGAATACTAAACGGGAGCCATCAACTAGCATAGCAAATTACAGTAATTTTGTTACACTGAATTCTGCTACTCAAATCATAACACACTTCAAACTTTCTATTTATTAAAAATCCTGTAACAGGCTGGGTGAGGTCCCAGCATTTGGTAGGGAGAGATAGGAGGATCACTGAGCTATAGTTCAAGGATAGCATCAAATACATAGTGAGACCCTCTCTCAAAAAAACAAAGCAAAACAAACAAACAAACAAAAGCCAGATGTGGTGGTGAATGCCTATAATTCCAGCATTTGGTACAAAGAGGCAAGGGAGTTGGAGGCCAACCTGGACTACATAGTATACTCCAAAGACCAGCCTGAACTACATAGTGAGAGCGCGGCTCAAAACAAAACAAAAAAATATCAGCATACTAAGAACAAATTCTAACATTATAGTAAGCTTTTAACAATTAACAAATGAATTACCTACACAAAATCTTTGTAAATAAGGGAGGGTAGAGGGGGTGAAGGGAGGGCAGGGGTATGGAAAAATGAGAACCAAGATCTGTCAGGTAAAGGTACAAGATCCCAAAGATGAATGTAATTGCACTGTATACTTAAAAAGTACCAATAAACTCAATAACGACAACCCCCCCCAAAACAAATTACCTACAAAATAATCTTTATGACCATCATTGAATATCCAACATTATTTCCAAACCTCACAAAGATTCTGCAAGGTCAAACAGTATAACAAGTGTATAAGTGAGGAAAATGAGCCTAGGGAGATAAAGTACCTCGTGGAAGATCATCCATGAAAGCAAGAGGCTGAGGTGTAGCTAGTTCAACGGTAGAGCACTTAATTGGTAGTGTGTGACAGGTCCTATATTCAATCCCCACCATTGGTTTATATTTTGGTTTTTGTTTCTTAAAGGAACTAGCAGAGAGCTGGAATCCAATCCCCTAACTACCCAGTTCCAAAGGCCATGTATTTTCTATTACACAACGTCCTTCCGTACAGGGGAAAATCATTCATTTCCCCCTTCCCAAGTTATTTCTCTTTCACTTAAGGAAAAAGTACTTACCTTTTTCAATTTAGGTAGCTTGGGGAGATTTGAAACTGAAATCAAGCATACATTTATTAAACTGAGGAACTCTAAATTCACAAATTCAGCTGTTAAGCCCTCAATTTTTCCATCATTTGATTTGCAATTGTCCAAGACGAGTTCTCGAACCTGAGGGTAATAAAGAAAAAGGAGACAAGCTTTCAAAAACATGGGAAACAAAGGCAAAAATTCCAATCCTAAGTGCCCCTCAAAAACACCAACATACTGTATATTTAGAATGTCCTTTACTTAGTCGTGGATCATAGAAATCAAGCTGTTAGTAGCAATATATTAGATTAAAAGATGGAACATTACTTCATGCTGTAAATGATTTCTGCTCCACTTTCCAGAAAAAGTGAAATTTTCAAGATATAAAAATGTGCTGTGCTTTTATTTTTTCTTGTTTGTTCCTCAAAGAGGAGTTTATCTGAATTAAATCCAAGTACAGAAGACACCCCTTTAAACTATCTCAAAGTCTAAGACACGACCACAGAATAGAGTGAAGCTTTACTTTTCCTATCAAGAAGTTCTAGCTAAAGATTTCTGCACTAACTTTCCAACTCTAAATCTATTAGTCTTTAGAAAGATTATCTTGACAATGGAAGGAATGAAGATACAAGAGCTCTTAATTCAAAACAAAGGGTTCCATGTCAGAGATTTTTTTCAGGGTACCGAACTGTTAAGACATTAAATCAGGTTTTATTCATTCATTCATTCATTCATTTATTTTTCTCTGGCTTTAAAGGTGTCCTTCAGAATTAAAATCCATCCAAAGGGTATCACTACTGATCTCCCGTAAAAACTCCTTTTGCCATTCCTGCTCTACCGTTGCCTCAGAAATCTGCAACACACATCGATCTAGTTACAATAATGCAAATTACAGCTTTAATGGCCCCTGGAAGGCATTCTGGGGTCAATCACTATGTATAACAGTATTAAACAAATCTTTACCCCCCCATCCAAGGATGTTACTCTAGTAACTGGTACTTTAACCAAGTACAGCTGGGCACGATGGTGCACACCCGTAATCGCAGCACTCAGGAGGCTGAGGCAGGAGGATCACTGTGAGTTCGAGACCAGCCTGGTCTACATAGTGAGTTCCAGGTCAGTCTCAACTACATAGTGAGACCCTGTCTCAAAAAACCAAAAAAAAACAAACCAAACAAAAAAAACCCAAAAAACAAAACCAAGCACTCACTCATAAAGGAAACGTTTAGATTCCTATCTGCATCACCATAAATTTCTCACCACTTCTTGCTATCCTGTTTACTCAAGGCTTCAGAATGCAGGCAAACCTATTACACCTTTTACTTCTTCCTTTCTTTCCTTCCACATTTCTCTATGTACCTATGCCATTCCTTCCTCTTCTGACAAGAAATCAGCACACCTGAAAACTCAGGGGGAAAACTGTGACCAGAGTTACCTGAAGTCAAATTCTGGCTCTGTCACATGGAACTTGTGCAATCTTAGGTAAGTCACTTACCCTGTGTTTTAAATTTCCTGCAAAGTGGAGACAACACCTTGTAAATCTGTTCTAGAATAGTGCCTGGGCAGTAGTAAATACTCAGAAAGTAGCCTTTGGGGACAGGAAATGGGGGATGTAAGATGTACCTGCTGTTTATTCATATTTGCCCTACACCTTTTCATCAGTATTTATTTATTTTATGTGACTATTCATTCATCTATTTTAAAAGTAAAGTTTAAGAACAGTCACTGCAGCTGACAAGGTAGTAAAAACCTATATTTTCAGCACCTTGAGAGACTGAGGCAGGAAGACAGCAAATTCAAGCCCAGCCCGAGCAACTTAGTGAAACTGTGTGTCAAACACTTAAAAAAAAATGGCTGGGGATACAGATTGGTAGAGTGCCTATTTAGCCATACAAGGCCCTAGATTCAAACCCCAGCACTAAAAACACACAAAAATTACTGCTAGACTATAAGCTTCTGATGTCAGGGTCCTATCTATTTTGGTTACCACTATATCAGCAATGAAAAAATGTTATCTATTACTACATTATTAGTATTTTGGTATACATTTCAAGCTATTGTTAGAATACAAACATCTGAGTATATTAATTAAGAATTATTTAAAATGTCAATCTTGGGCCAGGGATGAGCTCAATGGTTCCGATGCCTGCCTCACAAGCATGAGTAACAGAGTTCTATTCCTGGTACCAAACCACGCCCCAAAATAAAATGTCAATCTCTATTAAAATGTACTGCAAACATTTTTTCCAACTTATTTGACTTTTAGTTTTTGATCTTTCTAGATTATGAAAATTCTAGGTATTTGCATTTATCTTGAGGGTATCTTCTATTGCTTTTAACCTAGCGAGTAAAAAGACACCCAGAGAAACACTGACAAAAGATAAATGAGACATAAAAAATACAAAGTCAGTAAACATAAAGTGTTCAGCCACAAGTTTTAAAATGGAATATTAAAAATTAAAATTTTATCCTATTCTTTTTTTGTGGGGGGTACTGTACCGAGGATTGAACAAAGGACTTGCACACTGAGCTAAATCTGCAGACCTTGTATTTATTATTATTTTGAGACAAAGTCTTGCCAAGTTGACAAATTGCCTAGGCTGGATTCAAACTTCTGCCTCAGCCTCAAGTGCTGGGATTATAGGCATGTGCCAACCATGCCCAGCTGCTATTCTATACAATGCAGGCAGGTCAGGTCTTTTTGGATCACAGAAGGCTAAGATGCATACAGAGGGAGATGAGTTTCCAAGTGGGAGAGTGAGAACTTAAAATACATACTCGAGACCTTAAATTTCTTTACCCAATAGTAAACAACTGAATTTATTGGGGTGAGTACGGCAAAGATAGGCCTATCCTTTGACTTTTCCAGGAAGACTAAGAAAGTAATGTGCTACACCAAGAGGAGAGCTTAAGAGACCTAGTAAGATGACCCACTGGGGAATAAGTACAGAGAGTGGGAATCACTGCATAAAGCAGAGACTCACTCAGGACTATGCTCAAATACAGCAGGTCTTAAAGCTCCATCAGTATCCTGTCAGCTTATTTAAAGTTCTAAACAGAACTGTGGCAAAAAGATGTTCTGCTCTCAGATATTGTTTCAGCAATAAAGCAGCGTCAATTGAGGTCAAGGGAGGAAAAAAACTCCTTTACCCTCTAAGATTCAGGGCTCTGGGCCTGTAAATTAACTGATGAGATAGTTTAATGGAAAAAATGTGCAACATGCATACACATTAACTTATAAAGAACTGAAAAAGTTAAGAGTAGCAGGGGCTTATATACTTAACTTATGATAGGAAAGCGAAACCTTCCTTTGTGAAGAATAGGAAAAATACTGTGATGGCCTGTGTGCACACACCTGGGATGCCAACGCTTCAGAGGCTCAGGCATGACTGAGAGTTGAGGACAGCCTGGGCTGCAGTTTATCACCAGTCTGGACTACATTGTAGGACACTGTCTCAAAAAAAGTTTTTGATAGGGCTTATCTACAGACAGGTATGAGTGGTCTGTCTTTACCCCAGAAAGGAGATTCATGTATGACATATTTTGGTCTTGGTCTTGCTTAGGACCAGAGGTGCACCAAAATTGATTGTGTTAGTCCTCATTTATCCTGTTTGCTTTTAGACAGATAAGCTTGAAGTAGGCTTCTTTGTTGAATCTACAATGTTTTCCATTTAAAATAATCTTCATGCCAAACCTCTAGGTTCCCATAGAGGTATAATTAGGCCTCCCATCTCTCCAATTCTTTCTCTGGTATAAAGCAATCCAGACTGCTTTGTAAGGGAGAGAATAGCTTTGAAAGAGGGTGCTTTGGGTACAGTTGGTGGGGTTTAGCCAATAAAATTCCTCTCCCAATGGAGATCCAGAATAAACTAGAAGTTCTAATCCCTACTTTCTTCTTAATATATCCAAATCTTCCCAGGGCTGCTACCTAATGAGGGAAAGCTAGGCAAGTACCTGCACATTTGTTTGCACAATTTAGGAAGTATTTGATCCAAGACAGAGTTAACTGGCCTTCTGTTTGAAGGATGGATAGTTTAACTTCTGGGGCTAAATTCACCTTTTCCTTCTCTCATTCTCTAATTAAATTTGCTTTTCCTCAAGCATGACTATCAGACAAACATTTAAAATAAAAGCCAGGGCTCAGTGGTTCCACGTGTCGCTTGTCTTGCAAGCACAAGATCGTAAGTTTGATCCCCAGTATCAAAATACAAAAACAAATAAACAACCCCCCCAAGCCACACTTCCTAGCTCTTGCATTTGTTAACTGTAGTTTACCTTTTCACTGAAATTTTTGAAATACACTGATTGTGGTCTCATGGGCCTCTCCCCCTTTCATTTCTAACTTGCTCTCACTTGCCACTCCCCAGCTATTCTGAAAAAAGATAAATTTTACCTAACTATTACAGTGACTTCCCCCAATTATAAGTGATGCTTCTATCATAAAAGAGGGGTAAGGATAAGTATTGAGTTATCAATTCCTTTATTTAGAAAAGTAACATAAGACTACTGCAGTAAAAGAATCCGAAAATGTAACAAAGCAAATTCCTGAAGTCCTTAGTAGCTGCTATCCTTTTGAGCCCATCAATGTTCAAATCTAAACTATTACTTAAAAGATTGTTTTTAAAACAAAACAAAACACAAACTGATATTGGTGGTTCTCAAATGTCTTTAAGTAGCACAACCCTTCCCATGAAAGACACTCCCATAGCCTACTGGTTGATATACAAAAAAGAATGATTTTTTTCCCTTATAGTATTGGGGACTGAATCCAGGTTCTCTGCATTGAGCTACATTTCCAGCTCTTTTTATTTTTTAGATCTTTGAGGCAGGGTCTCACAAAGTTGCCTAAGATGGCAAACTTGTGATTTTCCTGTCTCAGCCTCCCCGAGTGAAGAAAGGAACAATTTTGAAAAGCAGTTTAGCAGCAAAAGAAACCCCTACAACCTAAAGAGGTGCTTAAATTATGATCTATGCAGACATTAACATTGAAGTTGTAAAACGTTAGTGACAGGTAAGTAAAGGTGTTCACTGTATCATTTTTTAAAAGGTACAGGGCTGGGGATTTAGCTCAGTGGTGCAACGCTTGCCTTGCAAGTGCAAAGTCCTGAGTAAGATCCCTTGTACTAGAGGGGGAAAAAAAGGTAGTCAGGCACTGTCATGCATGCCTGTAATCCTAGGACTTGGGAGGCTGAGGCAAGATCTTGTCTCAAATACAAAAAAGAAAAAGGGATGGGGATGTGGATATAGGCCCTGGGTTCAATCTTTAGTACTGCAGGGGTGGGGGTGGACAGACGACACACACACACACACACACACACACACACACACGAACCCGAGTTTGAAAACAAAAAAACAAAAACAAAAAACTTGGTGGACTACTCATCAAAATGTATGGGGGTAGGGTGTGGGTGTGTGTGTGTGTGTGTGTGTGTGTGTGTGTGTGTGTGGTTTCTACTTTCTTCTTTTTGCTTATCTTTATCTGCTACCTTTTGGCTTATCTGTATCTAATTTTTCTCCAACAAAGATATATTATTTATACAAGGGAAAAACCCCAAATTAGTTGCTATGCAACCAATTAGAATATCCAATTGAGTTCAACAGATGCTGGGATAGGGGAATGGGGAAAAAATAAGAACCAAGATACATCATGTAAAGGTACAAGATCCCAATGATGAATGTAACTACTGTTTACCTTAAATATACCAATAAACTTAATGAAAAACAACAACAACAACAGATGCTGGGGGGTGCAAAAAAAGAAGATGCAAGCTACAGAAAATCTAATTTCTTCTCTCCCGTGAACTGGGACTAAGGAAGGACTATTCTTATTAATGTGTATGAAACATCACAGTTTTAACACCGTGGTAGTGAACCTGTACAGGCACACACACACCATCTGTTTATCACTGAAAGCTCTTAGGAGAGTCACCATCACTTGTCTAGCATATATTGTTTCAGAGGCCTAAATTTTTTTTTTAACTTCAGGAAGAAACTATTTGGCTAACTATGAATTACAAATTTTAAGAGTTAATATGAAAGCTAGTTGTCCCAAGCTGCCTGTGCTCACAGTAGAACAGCATTTTCATTTAGTATAATGACAACTTCACAAGAGGAAAGATCAGATATTCCTAATTTTGGAAAACAACTAAATTTGGCCTGTATCTTCCTACTGTATGTCAGCACCTTCTCACCTTACTGACAATACCACCAATTTCTGTGGTATATATGGTATGTTCCAGCACTGTACAGTTTATTCTCAATAGCTAAGCATGGTAGTGAACACCTGTAAACCCAGCACTTGGGAGCCCAAGGCAGGAGGACTGCCTTGAGTTTGAGGACAGCCTGGGTTACACAGTGAGTTCAAGGCCAGACTGAGCCTTGAACATAGTGAAATCCTGTCTCAGAAAAACAATTTATTCTCAATAAGTTTATATAAAATATTTCTTAGGGCTCAGAGTGTAGTTCATTGCTAAGAGTTCACACTTACCATGCACAAAGCCCTGGGTTCAACTACAGCATGAGTGCAGGCACACACACAAACCCCCCTCCCAAACAAAACAAAACCCACACAAAAACCAAAATCAAAACCAAAACATATTTCCTATTCTTGCCTATATTTCTGAATGGCAACCATTCTGATTACAGCAGACTCTTAACTTACGAATTCGATTAGTGGTTCCTGAGGACTGATTGTAACTCAAGTTAGTTGAAGTCAATACAGATGAGACCTGCATGTTTACCTGGATACACGCTATGGATAACAAGCAGGAAAACAAACCTTCTATTAACCTATTATCTCAAGTTGTTCCTATGTCGGGCTGGCTGTAACTTGTGGGCTCACTGTATTTTTTAAATTGTAGGCCTTTTATTCTCACTATGCGAATATAATGATTTAAGAGCTGTTTATTTTTTTCGTAGAAAGTAAGGTTTTACTCTGGGTCACAGATGGGCAGACCGGAAGGCCTGAGCCTGGGGGCCTTACCTGGCTCAAGCTCCCTGGGCAGCACATCACCACCAAAGGGACTCACAGTGGAGAAGAAGCAAAGACAGCAGGGAGGGCTCGGGCAGAAAAAGAGCTGTTTTTGAACTTAGAAAAAAATGAATTGTTATTTATGACCCCCAGCCATGGGGGAAATACCTGTGTTTGTGAGAAATAGGGCAATGGTAGCCTGTGAACTGAACCTACTGAACTCATGTACTCTGGCCAAAAAACACAAGAAGCTAAATAGAAAGTGTTAACCTAGGCTTCTTCTAACCCTAACATAAAACACAAACACCATTATCCACAATAAAAGCCTGACTTTTAACAAAGGTCGACTACGGGATACATTATCTCCGATTTCAGAGCATCCATTTCAACCCAAAGTACACTCCATGAAACAATGGGATTTTCCTGCTTCCCCAAATGACAAGTGTGTGCAAGGACCCAGAGACCAAGCCTAATTCCCTAACAGCTGACAGTATTACCAATAATTTCTGTGACATATATATACACATTTTATAGCATATCATGCAAAAGATGAGGTGTGACTAGCTGATTTTTAAAGGGGCCATCTTGGCGCTTCAATTGCCTTAAGGGCGATGACTCTGTGCAAAAATACTTTTAAACTCCTTGTGATTTTTTTTTTTAAAGATCTATAACATTTTTTTCCTGAAAAGTTTTAGGTCAAAGCTCTCCCATAGACTGGAGAGCCTGTCACAAGTCTCCCTCCTAGTATCCCACAATCTTGGTCGCCTCTTGGGACACTCTTCCTCTAGCCAGCACAAGTGCAACAGGCACTAGCATGCCCCAGTGTCTAATTCTTCAAGAGAGCAAGGGCTACTTCCTGACTGTTCACACTGGTTTCTCAGGACCGGGGACATTGAGCAAATGTTAAATAAACCAGGGGGCTCTTGAAGTCAGTGGTGTCCGACAAAATCCACTAACCACTTGTTGCTGTGGGGGTGGCTCCAAATGTGTGTAGAACTTACAAACTGATTTTTCACTTTTAATTAGTCGCATGACTCTGGCTTGTTTTTGACCGGCTAAAGCCTAAGTTGAAAATTATCACCTGCATATATGTACATACACTTTTAAAGACAGTGTTGATTCATATACTACACAGAACAACATGCAGGCCAGCTTTATTTTCCAGAGAGAACCAAAATCTATGAGTTTTATAACAAACAGACATTTAGACTGCAAATTCTAAAGAACTCAAATACTAAATTTTATTTTGTCCCACAGATGATGGAACCCAAGATCAAGCATGCTACGCAAGCACTTTATCATTTGGCCAAATTCTAAATGTCGAAGCATTTTTAAGACCCACGTTGTGTACTTTTCTTACGCGAAATTTGTCTGCACTTAGTTACTCCGCGTTTTATTGCTTTGCGTGGAAAAGTCTATGTGAAACTCCGTAAGGTGAGAACACAGCTCCTCAAATTGCACACAAGACGTTTAACCACTGACTACAACAGCACGTGGCGGGCACAAAATGTCTGACTGGCGGCCGCAAGGAGCGCGCGCCGGTTGCGCCCCAGTCCCGCCCCCTCGGGACCCCAGGTCGGCCGCTGTCCCGCATCCCGGCAGCAGCTGTACGGGCCGGAACGAAGACCCAAAGCACACGGGCTACACCTGGCCAGCATCCCCATAAGTTCGCAACTTGCTAACCACCGCCACCTGCGGGCGCGAAACGCGGTCTCCCGCCGGCCTGGGCGGATGGCGGCTCCCTGGGTTCTCCTCGACCTGAGAAAACCGCTTACTTGTGAAGGAGTTCGGCTGCCGCAGGCCGGAGGCCACCGTGCGCATCTCACAGGCCGCCTCGCACACGGGGTCTCCAGCACGTGCGGGGCTGAGGCCGCAGAACTTCGCGGGCCGGAAGGAGGCCGTAGCCGTCGCCCTTTTAAGAAGGGGAGGGGTCTGCCTTCAGGGGATTTCAGGTCTAATGGGAAAAGGCCCTGCTTCCAGTGGTACAGAACAAAGGAACCAAAAGGTAACCTTGTTTCTCCCAGTCTTCGAGAACCAGAATCCAGGACATTTTGCCCTCTTAGTCAAATGTGATCAAGAGATTAATTCGGTTGTTTTGCTAGAGATGTGTTTTCGCTGGCCTTTGAGAAATTAGTCTTAATGGGGGTCAAACCAAGCTTTATAGGCCCACCTGAGATTTGCTTCTGTCTTCCTGCGAGAGCTGGTGAACACAGAGACCCTGAGTGTCCTATCCACTGCAGAAAGCTGAAGCCCACTGCCCATCACCTTACCCAGCGCTTAGAAGTTTCTCATTCCATTAATACTTGCTGAATCGGGTGACTGTTAATCCACAAAGCTGAGGTACAAATTGTTTAATCATGTTTTGTAAACCTTTGAAATCATTAAACTTAAAAAAATAAAGTTAGCTGGAGCCTCAATTCATCTGAATCACCTGCCCATTTGGGTTACAGTTCCTTCCTGATACTGCATTTAGATTAGCATTCTTGCTTTCTGCTTTGAAAGACACAAGATTTTCGGATCAGATACAAAGTTGACAGGAATAGGTGCCATTGCAGGGAACTGTTAGCACAGGACAAGATCAGGATGGGCTGTAGGCTAGCATGTCACATGTACCTTGTCTCCCGACACTTTGAAGTCAGCGCAGGTGAGGTGCACTGTTCATAGGATCGTAGATTTTTGAATCCACCAAGCCAAAAAGCAACAAACCACATTTAATACACTGGTCCATTCAAAAGGCATTCTAATTTCATGCCACTGGTGAGACAGTGGAGTATTGTAGTTGTTTTAGGAAACAATCAGGCAGTATCTTTAAAATTTTAAATATACCTATATTTATATGCTTTGACCCAGCAATTTCATTCCCAGGACACTATCCTTTATTAAAAATTAAAAGATTCAGAAATTTAGGAAGATTAAAGTTTAAGGCCAGACTGAACAACTTAGCAAGCCCCTCTCAAAATAAAAGATAAAACGGGATGGGATGTAGGTCAGTGCAGGGAACACACAGGAAATAAAAAAAAGGGACAAGCAGACTATAGCACCCCAGGCGACAAATGACATCTCAATTTTTGCAAACTGGAATTAATATTTCTCTTGATGAGGTGAGAAAGGAGAAAGAATGCATCTGTCGCTCTTCCTTTAATGTTTTCAGGTGAAAACACTAGAGTATATTGATAGCTGTCCAATAAAAATAAAAGCATCTAATTGATAATGTGAAATAGGAAAAAAAGGTCTAAATGGTGTAGAGGAAGTAGGAGAAGGGAAAGGAAAAAATACGAGAAAAGGAAAAATGGAAACAAAGTCTTTGTAAATCAGGAGGGCTGGAGAATTCGAAGGGAGGGCAGGGGAATGGGGAAAAAATAAGAACAAGATGCACCATGTAAAGGTACAAGTTCCCAGTGAGGACTGTAACTGTACTGTATACCTAAAATGTTCCAATAAACTTAATGGAAAGCATCAGTACACAAAAACCTACATATAAAAATCCGGGCACAAACTTACGGTTCATCCACTACGAAATGACATGATCGGGGTCGCCGGGACCGCGGCCGTCCGCGGAGGCTCCCCCGAGCCAGCCAGACGAGGGGCTTTGGGTTCACCTTAGCACCATTCCACCCCAGTCTGGGACCGGCAGCCTGAACCTCGCTGTTCCATGGCCCAGTGACGTCGGAAGTGCCATATAGGACCTCGTGTCCGGGGAGTCGCTGCCGGCCAAAGTTGAGGGCTCTGTGCGGCCCGGGTCCTGGGTTTCGCAGAGTGTACCTCGGTTCTTTAGCTTTTCAATATGAGCTAAGGAAGGAAACAATTAGTATTTGTAATGAGGCCTGTTTTTCGGGGAGACTTTTAAATTACTCTGGGGTACCTCTGTGAGTGTAAATTCTTAATGGTCTGCTTGTGGATGAGGCCTGGCAGGCAGCCTTTGACATGGTCGAGCTAAGGGTCCCTGGGGTTAGAGTACAGGCAGGGAAGAGTGGTTTGCAAGCTGTGGGGGAGTAACGTTAAGTCCAATTTAAAGGAAGTAACGAAGTAATATGTCAAATCAGAGACCTTCTAAAGATGCGAGGCATGAAAGATTAAGAACAATTTGTAACCGGTGCCAGCGATTTAGCTCGGTGGTTACGCTGCCTGCCTCATAAGAACAAGGTCCCGATTGCTCTCCCAGGTACAAACACACACACTAAGAGAGAGAGAGATGTATATATTATGCATGTATATGTGTATGTATATGTGTGTGTGTGTGTATATATCTCAAAACCAAAATTCTTTGTATCAGTTTAAGGTTCTGAGGAAGCTCCCCACTCCTTTTCCTCTTTTGCCTTCATGGTATCCCCCAGATTTAGTTTTAAACCAATTATATACCAATTTTTAAAATGTTCAGTGAGTCAAGTGTGGTGGCAACACCTATAATCCCAGCAGGCAGAGATTAGGCAGGAGGATCACCCTGAGTTTGAGGCCACTCTGGGCTGTTTACTGACACCTTGTCTCAAAAAAGCAAAACAACAATCGTAATAAATTAACATTTTAAAGAGGAAAAAAGTTTTAGGATTATGGAAAAGGCAAATAACTTTACTGTGTGTAGCTTCCTGACTTCATTTAGGACAAGGGAATATGACAATGGTGTGTGACCTACAGTGTCACAAGAGGTCTTAACTATGTAGTTGTGGGGACCCTGGAGCTGTGCAATGATACTTTTACAAAAACTACCACATCCATCCCAAAGCTAAAAGGCTCTTATTCAGCATTCTCGGGGCTTGATATATTTCTTATTTAATCCCCAGTCAGCCCTGTGAAGTAGGGGATAGTACTCATTGAACAGATAAGAAGCAGGGTCAGACAGCACAGCCAACAAGAGGTGGAGCTAGGGTTCAGACACAGATGGTTCTGGCTCCCAAGGCTGCCATCTCTCTGCCCACCCTCTATCAGTCTGGACTGGAATCGTAGCATGGGCCTTCTGTTAAGGGATAGTAGGTTTGGAACAGTTGCAGATGACCTGTAATACCAAATAACATGCAGACCTCTCCTAGCAGATTAAGGGAAGACGCTGGAGGAACCTTGACTGGGGGTCTGTGCTAGAGGGAGTAATAAACTGGTGGCTCGCAGGGGAGGTGATATTGATCTTAGGGAGGGTCAGGGCACATCTCCAGACCCTGTCCTCTGTGCCCCACTAGGGGATGAAGGACCTGTGATACATAGCTAACAAGATAAATGTATGTTTTATGAGATTAAGCTACAAAGTAATTAATAAACATAGCCACAATGCACATCAAATAAAAGAAAGCAAAAGAGCCAAAGGAGGAGAGACTACAGACAGGGCACTGTGCCTTCTTACACAGCCGGTGCTGGCATGCACCTCAGTGAACAAAGAGCATGTGTTCCAGTGACATGCTTCTTTGTCAGGGGCTTCACTGCCAGAGGCATAAATAACACAGAACAGGGTGTGTCTCTCCCCTGCCAGAATCTATGGGACTGTCCGTCCACAGGCCCACAGGGGCTCTGGTTTTAAATGTTGGTGTACTTAACATCATTTGTGCATGTGTCTGTGTATGAGAAAGACACAGAATATATAATTGTATCTACTTTGCAGTTATGTTGTCCATGGATTAATGGATTGGAACAAGGGCTGGAAGAGACTTAAGGAACAGTGAAGACAGCTTAGTTTGTTAGGAAGACTAAACTATGGGTAGATTTCTTTTTATGTCTTTTGATAATGTTTGCCCAATAAGTATAAAAGTATCTAGTAATGCGAAGCTTTGGCACTCCACTGAGTCTTTTTTTTCATTGAGTCTTAAAACTGCCTGATAATCAGGATATGTGTGTATTCCAGTAAGCTCTAAGATGTCTGAGAACACTCTAAGCTAGTTTGTAACTCCTTGGACCAGCTCCCCACACTAAATTGTCAGATGACTCAGCTTTTACAAACTTTGGGGTTACACACAGACTTCAATAAATATGAAAATGAGAGTGAATAGCCCCACTCAGGCATTGGTTTAACTGGCCTAGAAATGAGTTGAACAGAATGGATACATTTTTTTCCTTAGGGCATACAAAGGTGATGGATAATATAGGGTAAGGAAATCAGTACTCTTTTAAATACTAAGTATTGCCATGCTGTCCCTCTCTCCCATACACACGTGTATACACTGGTAAGAAATTTCCCCTGGGCCAGGTGTAGTGGCACTCACCTGTAATTCCAGCACTCTGGGAGGCTGAGGCAGGAAGATCTCAAATTTGACCTGACCTGGACAATTTAGCAACTCAGACCCTATTTAAAAAATAAAATATAAAAGGGACTGGAGATGTAGCTCAGTGTGAAGGTCCTGGGTTCACTCCTCACTACCACAAAACAGACTTCCTTACATTTCTACAATATAGTGTATGTGCCTCTGTTTAGGGCAGTTGGGCAACAAATGGTACTTGTTAAAAGATCTAACTTCCCAGTGAGACTGTGAATTTAAATATTTCTGATTTTCTGATAATGGTAATGGAGAAGAGAGGGCTGCAGTGTAGCTCAGTGTAGCTAGGGTGTAGCCTTCACCTACAATAGCCTGCCCAAGGCTCTGGGATTGATCCCCAGCACTGAAAAATAAAAATAAAGAAAATGGAAGAGTATGGGGCTGTTTCTAGAATGAACATAGTAAATACTCTGCAAATGTGTGGTATTGAAAAATGTCACGTGTACTAAACATTATCATCTAGGTAATTTACAGACAAAAGAAAGGGAGAAGCAGATATTTAGGTGAAAATGTGTTAAGGAATGAGGTCTTACTCATCTAACTGTGCAGGCAGTTCCACATCCATTAAAGGGCCTCTGTCAGAGGACCCAGCTTCCTTTCTGCTCTTGTCTAGCTGTAGGTTCCAGGACTTCCTGAGGCAGCAAGAGAGAGCTGCTACTGAGAGTCAGGTCTGATATTTATTAAACACCATCTTTATGCCAAGGACTATGAGTGATACTTTTGTGTATGTTTCCTCACAGTTAATCCTGGCAAAGCTCCCTGAGAGAGCTACATCTTTTTTAGTGTTTAGGAAACAAGTGCAAGGAAGCCAAGTGGGTTTGCTGAAACTCACATACTAGCAAGAAGCTGGATTTTTCTGTCATTAAGGACTCACTGATTTGTTCTCATACTTTGATCCACTAGTCCTCAGATCTGCTTCTGAAAAAAACATTTTTCCCCCTGCTTTAGGATCTACATGTGCCAGGCGTGTTGGCACAATGCCTATGATCCCAGCACTGGAGGGGGTGGGAGGCAGGCAGGAGGGTCACTGTAAGTTCAAGGCCAGCCTGCACTACATAATGAGACCCTGTCTTGGAAAACTGAAAAAAGGTGTTGTGTACGTGTACTAACTCCCCACAGTGAATTGAATTAATCGTTGTATACTACAAACATACCAATAACAAAATATATAAAATAAAAACTCTATCACCCAGAAAAATAAAAAGGACTACGATGAAGCTCAGTGTTAGAGCACACATTCCTGAGGCCCTGGACTCAATCCCTGGTACCGAAAACACCACCAAACAATACTGGCGATCAGATTGAAGTTTTTGTTTTGTTTTAGAAACTTGGCATTTTCCTCCTATCATTCAAGTAAATCTGTATGAATACAATTTTGCTCAATGATTTCCCTTTTACTGTATTTGTTTTTGTATTTTATTTGTGTGTGTTTGCAACCAGGGATTGAGAGGTAGGTGGCAGAACCACTAAGCCAAATCCGGGCTTTGTTTTGTTTTTTGAGACAAGGTCTCACTGTGTAGTTTTTAGGCTGGTCTTGAACTCACAGTATGCCGCCTCCTCAGCTTCACCAGTGCTGGGATTACAGGGATTTCCATTTTAAGAGGACTCTGGTAAGAGGGGAATGCGTTCAATCCCTTAAACTGGCTGTGTGCTGTTGGACAGACCCCATAACCTCTCTGGGGTTCAGGCTGCTCATCTCATCTTAAACATGATCATGTAGGTGAAGCTCCTGAAGCCCAGTAGCTGGCACTATCCTTTTTTGGGCCTGCCACAGTCTGCAAGGCTGTTTTTCCCTCTCCTAAGTCTGGAGCCCCAGAGCTTGCTGGCCTCCTCCAGAATTAGCAAACTGGCCATCAAACTTGCACATCTCTATGCAGCTACCCTTCCCCTTTGGCTGAGGATAAAAGGGCTCATCCCAAACCAATATGTCTGGCACTCAGAAATCTCAGACTCACATTTCCCACAGCTTATGGTCTCACTTGGGAACTTGGAACATGCCCCTGAGCTAGGTTGGGAAATAGCTGAATGCCCCTTCTTCCATAATTACCCAGCATCCCTACCATCTGGACCTTCAAAGACTGCACAGGGGTTTCCTTGTCTTTATGGAACGAAGACTGATCTGAGTTGTCTTTTGCTGATTGAGTACTACCATCTGTTCTCCAGCTTGCCTCACCTGCCCCTGCACAGCCAAGTGCTCTGGACCCTTGGCCAGTGTGTAGGTCAGTCCTCCCTCACTCTGGACCCTGGCACAACTGAGGGTTGGTTAAGTGGTCCCTAATGTGCTAGTGTGTTCTAGTTCATTTATTTTCTCTCACTCTCATTCTCTACTGGGAATTGAATCCAGGGTCTTATACATGCTAGGAAAGTTCTCAACCACTAAGCTACAGTCCCTCAACTTACTAATTGTTCTGATTTGAGGCAGGGTCTTATTAAGTTGCCCAGCCTGGCTTCTAACTTATGATCCTAGCGCCTCAGGCTCCTGGAGGCTGACATTACAAGTGTGCACCTCCACACCTGTCTTCATTAGACTCTTCTTTGATAAAGGCCAAATTTCTA